GATGCCTCTTTCCCTAAATATCAGAAGATAACCACTTAGTTTCATCTAGTGCCTTATTAAACATCCTCAGAAAGACCGTTTAGTTTTGTCTCCTGCATTGTATTTCCCAAGCCCATCCACATAAGGGAAACTTCAGAGCCCATCCCTACCCTGAAGGGAAGCACAGGAATTTGTGTGTTTTAGAAATCCGTGAGGGTACCTACAAACATTGCCTCACAGGAGGTGACTGCAAAGGGGACTCACCGTTGCTATAGAGGAGTTGGAGTTTGTAATGCGTGCCGTTGTTTGTCTTTTCATTGCCTTGCTCCTGAAAGAGAGAATTAAAAAACATCTTCCAGAACTTACAGTTGGCACATTTACAATGCAAAAGCTGATAATCATGATGGAAGTGACAACAAAGTTCATTAAAATTCTGAGAGGTGAATCCACTGATTGGGATATATTAACCTTCCGAATGACCCAGGACAAACTACAAAATACTGCTGACATCTTTTCCTGTAGTTCAAGAACTTGTTTTCCTCTCTTATTTGCCATTATGCTCTCAACTTTTTCAAGGCAGTACACTGAGACAAATTTGTACATTTCAATATCAGTTGATATAAAGTATATTCATAGTGGGAAAGCTCAGGGGAGCTTGGTTTTAATGTGTTCATTACTTTGCAATAGTGTTATTTTGAGTCATTATTGATATTTATTTCCTGAAGGCTGTTTTCCAGGATGCTTCTTACATGTTTTTTACTGTAATTTCCTAGAAGATTATTATTTATGACCACCCTTCATAATTAAAAAAATCTTGTCAGTGATTAAGAAAGTAACTGTAAAAGCAATGTGGTCAAACACATGGTTTTAAAATCCAAAAGCAAATGCTTTTCAAGTCCTGTCATTGACTTTGGAGTCTGAAGAAACACATATGATCAAGCTCAACAGATAATATGACATATTACAAGTCAGATTCCACTTGTGTTAGGGTACTAATAAAACTTGACAGATCTGGTAGGTTCCAAAAAGTGCTTTTGTCCCCCATTTAGAATTTTTTATTCTACTTTTAGTTGGTGTATGAAATTCTCATCATACTCCTGATAACAGCAGAGGCTTGCAAGCCTTTTTAACTACAGCAACACAGAGAGCAACAGCTCAACCAAAGCACCTGAACCCTTAACCAAGATCTGGTTGCATTTTGTGAGAGACAACGGGTATTAAAAGTTAGCAGCTCAATGGGGGCAAAGGAAAGATCAAATTTTGAGTGGAAAAGAGGAAGAAGAAAGATAACAAGCCTTACTTTATCATTTTCTACAAAGTCCACAAAAGCTGTCCTCTCTATTTCCACGGGCTGCCCCTGTCTGTCGTAGAGAGCCAGAACAAAGTGAAAGAAATTGGATTTCCTCAAGTTGGAGGGTGGCTGTTTTTCAAAGTGAGCTCTGGACAAAGCTACTCCGCTGTGGAGGAAACACACGAGACGGGGTGTGGGGGGAGAGACAAAGACATTACCAGGTTGTGCAGCAGTTTAACAGCAAAAAAACAACAACAGAAAAGGCACAATACTTTCAGAGGCAAGCCGGGAATCGTCCAGCTTGTGCCGGGTGCCACACGGGGTGACCAGGAGACCCTTGTCATCCCTGCCCGCGGTCCTAGTGCTCTCCCACCGGGACAGCCCGGGAGGGAGAGAAGGGGAGATGCCCAAGTTTGAAGCTGTCATTGCAACGCTCCTTGCGGCTTGGCCCCGGTAGCTTTACAGTTATGCTCGGAGGGCAGGAATAATTTACACAATGTAGATCGGTTGTTGCTAAATGCAGGGTTTTACTTCCTTCGCTAGGTTATTTTCTTCTCGCCTGTCACATTTACTTCTGGAATGCAACGTGCAGGGTGGGGAGTAGATGTAGCACATCAGAGTCTGGCAGTGCTCTCTGTACTTCCTAACATCGTTCACTTTAACACAAGCGACCTTAAAACATTTCCTACAAGCCGACTGTCAACTGGAGGGAACCTATATTTTATATAAAAGATAACTAGTTTCAGGGAGACCATCCACTTTCCTCAGCAGAGAAGTTTTATCTATATGGACTTTACTCACCATTTGAACCGATGCCTGCATCTTCCATTTCTGATTTAAATTGAAACAATTTATTCTCGGGTTAACTAGCCCTTGCCCAAATCTTGTTCTGGACTCCAGAAAACGCAGTGACGTTTCCCACACATTTCCTGCCTTGGAAAGATTCAAACGCTTTTTCATCTCCACAATACTACAGCTACATTTGTTAGCGACACCAGTTTGTTTCCAGGTTGTAGCTCCCTCTCTATAATGTTAATTTCTACCTACTGCAGAGAAAATAGGTGCGCGGGCACCTCCACGTTACTTAACAGGCAGATTTAAGTTTAATCTGCCAGATAAGTAAGGAAAACCTTCGGGTTTCAGTCCCACAAATTCGACTCTTTCAGTGAATTACAGACGTTTCCCTGTGTTTTCCATCGCCAGATAGGTACAGTGTGAACTCCCCACATCCGACACAACTGCACCTAGTTTGGGGTTTCCTCTCATTCTGCATGTAATTACTTGGTTTGTTACCAAGAAGAAAACCTGAGGATGCCACAACCCGACCGCATCTCCACCACTCCTGTGAATTACAGGGCTTCTTAGGAGCAGTTTTCCTTTTACTTTCACTTTCCCTAGGAATTAACCTCGCCTCCCCCCGTATTTATTAAACCTACTACCGACATTCATAAAACTCTGATAACTCCTCCCATAGCGCTTGGAAAATCTTCCTCACTGATCAGGCCTTGGCGGGGGGGGATGGATGTACTTATTTCTACAACGTCTCTGTTTCATTTGAAGTTCCATCTGCTGTAACATGCCCTTCACCTTGTCTCTATACTAAATAAAACCCTATTTATTCCCGGGACCAATTTAGCCTTCCCCGACTCTACTACTTTTTTTCTTTTTCTTTTCCCCCTTAAAAAAGGAAAAAAATAAATAAATACAGAGAGCGAGGAAGAAAAGTCTTTAAAAGGTTTTACTGTCTTACCCCTCACGGGAAGAGACTGGAATAACGGTTGTGTTCCGACTTGGCTAGGGAGAGAAAATAAAGGGGGGGGGGTCTAACCTGCCTGCCCAAAACAACCATCCAAGCCCCCAGCGCTTGGTTTTTGCAGAGTTCCCGCAGGCAGGTGCCACAGGCAGGCGGTGTGAAGGGAACTGCCCCTGGCTGCCCGGCAAGCGGCTGTCCCGCCCTGCCTGCCAGCTCCTCTTCCTCCTCCAAACCTTGCTTTGCTCTCTGCTTGCCCGCTCCGGTCAGACAGCAAGCCCTGAATCCACGGGTTAGCTACGGAGTCACTTGAATTAAGTAAAACAAGATGGGCCGGGGAGGAGGGGCGGGGGAAAAGATCTACATTTAAGTTAATTCTAACTTGCTCCACTCCTGTTCGGCTGCCGGACCGGGGAGGATAAGTCTGTATCGATAGGTAAAACCAACCCACCCCTACACACCTCCCTTGTGCAGAAAAAGAAAGAAAGAACGAGCTGTCATCTGATCCCTGCACTGGATTTTAGGACTCGGTGCTGTCCGTTTTTGGAGTGCCCAGCCCTGGTTTTTGCTGTACTACCTTCAGTTTTCACTGACCAGGAGGGGGACGGAAAGGGAGAAAATAAAATCGATATCAAACGCAAACAACAACAAGGGAGTGAAGAGAAGGCTCGCTTAAAATAAAATTAAAAAAAAAATAAATTAAAAAAAGCAGGGGGAAAGTGGGGGAGAAACAGTCACAGTTACCTTTGTGCTGCTACGTTTGCATCCACAACCCCAACGTTCCTGACCCAGGACCTGACGGAATCCATTTCAGAACCTAGAGATTTATCTTTCAGAATCGGTCCTCTTCCTAAAGTATCTTGAATCCCAAACATTTAAAAAGTCTATTCCAACTAGCAACAGTTTCCTTTTGGGAGATAAAGGAGGAAGGGGGGAAAAAGGGGAAAAAAAAAAAAAAGACGCAGCCTTTGGAATTGACACACACAAATCCCAGGAAAACGGAGAAGTTCAGCTTTAAAACAAACTTCTTCTGCTTTTAAATGCTAGGTTTTAATATCTTCAAATGAGGGGGGGAAGAAAAGTTTCTCCTCTTGCGAAGTAAAAAGTTACGCTGATTCAGCCTCGCCTGGTGTCATCATCCTTCAAACGCGGGGGGGGAAACGGCATCCAGAAACCGAGCTTAACAAGGATCACCTGTTTCTCAACACAGGGAGAAGGACTGATTGCTGCCTAATCCAGAGATTTAAAAAAAAAATAATAATGAGAGGGATAAATCGCAGAAAGAGAGGAAGAAACGGAGCTAAGGAGCGCGGTGACACGGGACGCGCGGGCAGAGCCGATCCCTCCCGCGCCGGGCACCATGAATGGGTTACAGCGCGGGGAGCGGACACGGCGGGAAAGGGGAGGAGCCCGCGCCCAAATATGGGCGTACATTTGCATACCGGCTTCCCATTGGAGGACGCGGCACCCGCGGGCCGCTCCGCGCAACGGCTGCGCGCAGTCGGGCGGGGGGCGGCGCGGCGGCTGCTGGAGGGGAGCGGGGCCCGGCAGGGGGGGTTGGCTCGGAGCAGCCACCGCCATCAGTCTGTTCCAGGCCGTTAGCAACAAAAGCAAGAGCGCAGGTAGTTGGTCGCTTCGCTTTCAAGGCGCGATATTTAAAAATAAATAAATAAAAAAAAACCACAAAAAAGAAAGAGAAAAAGTGCGCAGAGGGAAACCTGCCGGGTCTGCGGGGGCTCTGGGTGCAGAGACGGGCTGCAGCGCACCCAGGAGACCCCGGAGTTCTCAGCACGCTCGAGCTGGCAGGTCTAGCCTTAAAACTTTTCAGAACGTCCTACTGCAGGCAAAATTTCTCACTAGAGGAAGTCGGAGCTCTTCCCCAGCCCAGCCCACTGTGAAGCAGGATAATACCTGCGTCTGTATTGATTTCATTTCGGTTTGTTTTTTTTTTTTAAACCGCTCTGCCTTGGTGATATTTTCCTCCCGGCCCTTTTGTATTCTGATCTGTGTATAGATCTGCCTCTGAAATCTATATAACACCAACGCGAAAACAGATTTCAAGACAATGAATGCAAATCTGTGCTCAGAGACCATCTGCCAGATGAGGGAATCAGATGTTCGGTAGTTAAAGGGACAGCACAAGGATTTCCTTCACTCATTATGTGCAGCATCTCTCTTTAACCTGCTGTATTTTAATTTATTTTTTTTTAACGGAATATAAATATATTTCCATTTCAGAATAAATCGCAGCCACGTTCAGCTGCATTTCAAAAATCCACCTTTCTGTTAAATGCTGTTTATTTTCGTAGTTTCATTCAGTTCTCTCCGGGACGAAAAAAATAAAAAAAAAATAAAAAGCACATTTAATCTTCCCATAAAAGTTTCATTGAAAACGTATCCTGAATTCAGGCACGACCGAGGGCAAAGCCAGGACTCCGAATTATTCTGTCTACATAAGTGACAGACACGGTATGAGGTGAACTAATACATCTCGCACAATCTTTGTTCAGGGAGATTTACCAGGCTCACCCACCTCCCCCAGATTGATAAATATGCAGCAAGTGATTCTGCCAGGTTAGCAAAAGGCGAGGCTGATGTTATTTCAGCGTTACAGAGAAGCAACAGCAGTTTGATGGCGTTAGAGAGGTGGAGGCCAACGTTTCAAGATACAATCTCAGCACCTTTGAGAAGCGATTTCTCAAGCTACAAAAAAAAAAAACCCACCACGCAAGCCAAGCGAGCAGCACAGGATATTCAACCAAAACAAAACAAATAGTGAGAAAACAAGAATACACGGTGTAAACGCACAGGGGGTGGTAAGGCACATTATGGTGATTATTATTTTCCTTTTTTACCATTTTGCAAACGGCGTGGGTACATTTCCTCGAATGAAAGCCCCCTCTTTGTACTCAGATAATTTTTGGCAATGCCACTCTTGACTGTTTCTGCATTTATTCTTAATCCTAAGGGCAGGGACGGAAGAGGAGGGGGCGGAATTCCCACTCGAGCTTAACCTTGGCCGACGCGCACACACATCAGGAGAAAACGTTTCCTAAAGTCCCTCGCTCCGAGGGATAAAGCCGAGCCCGTCCCCGCAACGCTTTACAAGGGAATCCGATCGGATCCAAACCAGATGCTCGTTCAGCCTCAGTCGCTTCCGAAGTCCCCGCGCGGCGGGACCGTGCCCGCTGCGGGAACAATGCGGGGCTCGCGTGTCCGCGGCCCCCGGGGAGCCCCGCTTATAGGGATTCACAGCGGGTCAGAGGGTCAGCGGCGCAGGTCAGGGGAGATGCGCTCTCCTCGCCCCAAAACAGCTGCCACCACAATTCTGCACTTGAGGAACAAATGAAGGGAGCCTTCCCGTCCTGCCCCGACGGGGGCTGCGGGCAGAGCTGCGAGCCCCCCGCCCGCTCCCCTCCTGCCAAAGGGGAGCATCTCCTCCCCTGTTAAGTTTCTCCCCTTTGCAGTCTACTTCAAAAGGACAAGAGTTCTTAAATTACAAACCCCCTGGCCTCGATCCCCCGTTTCAAGCACTTGGTTTGGGAAAAGCCCAAGTCTCGGGCTCTTGGCGTGTAAAGCCACTGAGTAAAAGCAGCGTTTAGACTGGTGCAATCGCCGCGTAGTTCGGCTTTGCACTTGAGAGGTTTCTGCGGTTCATCACCATTTAGCTCCGGAGGGATGAGAAATACACCTGAGGAGGACACCTGGGTGAAGGAAGAGAAGGCAGCCCCTGGCAGCGCATCTCCCGCTGCCGTACTCGCACCCAGGTCCGAACAGAACACGAAGGCGTGAAACGCGAGCACGGCAAAGGCTGGGGGAAAGGGTTTCTTAAGAGCCTAGAGTGAAACCGGCTCCGAATCGGCAGCGCTGAACAGTCGGCACGACCCGAGCGCGCCGCGGAGCCGCCCCGGGGCTGGGAAGGGTGTCGGGCCGCGCAACCTCCGCGCCCGCGGGGGCTCGGGGCTCACGTCCGCACCGGCGCCGATTTGCGCGCAGCCCCGCGGCCCCACCGCCCTGC